GAGTAAATGTCACAGTCAAGTTTTAATAGGGATGACCATTTTTGGTTGTCAAACCAAGTTTTTATAGGAATGGAATGTTTGTCAAAGAAGGCAAGATCAATAGTTCTGCCAGATATTACCTTTCGTCGGTTGAAATCGTTGTTGAAAACGGATCGAGCTTCGTTGTTCTGGAAGCATTGGACAGGGGAAGAGGTAGCGGCGGCGACTGAAGAGGTGGATGAGCGAGGATGTTTTCTTGTTGGAATTAGAGGAGGACCTTGAGAATCCATGAAGAGAAGAATGAGAGGTTGCGAGGAGGATAGAAGAAGAACGGAATGAGGATCGTCGGTGAGAGACGCCGGAATAAGAAAAAGGGCTAGGGCTAGGGATTTGATGGGTGTTGCAAGAGAAATGGGAAGGTTCGCGGTATATATATATCCCTGAGAGGCTGTCAACCCTCATGAAGAGAGGGGTTGACCCTTCGAATATGAAAGGGTCGTGCGGCAAACTCTTGGCCAAGGACAAGTGTCGACCCTTAGGAAAGCGGGGTCAACATTAAAAAACAGTGTCCTCAAACACCTCAGGTGTCAACACCTTCAAAGAGAGGTGTCGACCCTAAAAAGCAATGAATAGCACAGGGCTGGTTCACAGGGTGTCGACCCTATAGAGTAGGGGGTCGACCCTTAGGGGTCCTGATAAACAAAAACTAGTGTAATTTATAGCAAATTTTTCAAAGAAGCATAATAACACATAGGAAACATCACATAGGAATGTTTAACATGCCAAACTCAGTTCGTATAAAGTAAAATTGTTCCTCATTGAGGCTTGGTAAAGATATTGGCCAATTGTTGGCTTGTAGGCACAAATTCAAGTTCAATGTCACCTTTAAGCACATGATCTCATAGAAAGTGGTGCCTTATTTCAATGTATTTAGTGCGTGAGTGCTGTATGGGATTTTTTGAAAGATTAATGGCACTAGTGTTATCACATTTAATATGAATGTGATTGAAGTAAAGTCCAAAATCAAGAAGTTGTTGTTTCATCCAAAGCATTTGAGCACAACAACTAGTGGCGGCAATATATTCCACTTCAGCTGTAGATAAAGCCACAAAATTTTATTTTTTACAAAACCATGATGTGAGAGAATTACCAAGAAAATGACAAGTGCCACTAGTACTTTTTCAGTCAAGTCTATATCTCGCAAAGTCGGCATCTGAGTAACCATAAAGGTCAAAAACATTTGATTTAGGGTACCAAAGACCCAAAAGTGGAGTGCAAACAAGATATCTAAAAATGCATTTTACTGCGGTGACGTGTGATTCTTTTGGAGCCGATTCAAAACGTGCACACATACATACACTAAACATGATATCGGGTCTACTAGATGTTAGATAGAGTAAGGAACCAATCATACCTCGGTATTTCTTTTCGTCTACCGGTTTACCTTGCTCATCTTTGTCGATTTTAATCGATGTGCTCATGGGAGTTGCTGCAGGTTTGGACAAGTCCATTTCAAACTTTTTAAGGAGATCTTTGATATATTTAGCTTGAGATAGATGAATGCCATCATGAGTTTGTTTTATTTGTAATCAGAGAAAATATGTCAACTCTCCCATCATACTCATTTCGAATTCTCCTTGCATATCCTTAGCAAATTCCTCACACAAAGGTTTATTAGTAGCACCGAATATGATATCGTCAACATAAATTTTAAAAATAAGCATATCATCATTTTTGATTGTTATGAAAAGAGTGGTATCAATTTTCCTACGAGAAAAACTTTTCTCAATAAGAAAATTGCTCAAGTGGTCATACCAAGCTCTAGGGGCTCGTTTCAGACCATACAAGGCTTTTGAAAGTTTATAAACATGGTCCGGGTGTTTATGGTTTTCAAAACCAGGAGGTTGTTCAACATACACTTCCTTCGAAATGTACCCATTTAAAAAAGCACTTTTCACATCCATTTGGTAAAGTTTAAAATTTCTAAAACAAGCAAATGCAAGCAACATGCGAATGGCTTCAAAAAGTACAACAGGTGCAAAAGTTTCATCAAAATCAATGCCCTCTTCTTGATTATAACCTTGGGCAACAAATCTAGCTTTATTTTGTATAACAACACCGGATTCATCCATTTTGTTACGAAAAACCTATTTTGTTCCAATAACAGAATGATCCTTAGGACGAGGAGATAGAAACCAAACTTCATTTCTTTCGAACTAATTTAATTCTTCTTACATAACAAAAATCCATTTTTCATCATGTTCAACCTCGAAAAGGATTTTTGGCTCAATTTGAGAAACAAAAGCTAAATTGCCACAAACATTATGACTAGGAGAACGAGTTCTTACACCTTGTGTGGTATCTCCTATAATGAGATGTTTGGGATGTCCATGAGCATACTTCCATTCTTTGGGTAGATCATGTTCCTTCATTGGATGGATATTTTCTTTTTGAAGATCTTCTATAGAGACTTCAATATTAGGTTCCAAAGAATGAAGTTCATCATTTTCCGATAAGTAAATGCCTTCAATTCTTGGATTGGAATCTGCAACATCATCAATAGCAATATTCTTGGAAGCAAATGAGTTAAATTCATCAAAGGCAACATGTATGGATTCTTCAACAAGTAAGGTTCTTTTTATTAAAAACACAATATGATTTACTAGAATTTGCATAGCCAAGAAATACGGATTCATTAGATTTTGTATCAAATTTCCCAAATTTTTCTTTATTGTTATTAAGTACAAAACATTTACAACCAAATGCATGAAAATGACTAATGTTGGGTTTTCTACCTTTCCACAATTCATATGGTGTTTTCTTAAGTATGGGTCGAATCAAGGCACGATTAATAACATAACACGCAGTATTGATGGCTTCCGCCCAAAAATATCTCGACAAATCATTTTCACAAAGCATAGTACGAGTCATTTCCTCAAGGACTCTATTTTTTCTTTCTACCACACCATTTTGTTGAGGAGTTCGACGAGCAAAAAAATTATGATCAATGCCATGCTCATTACAAAAAAGAATGAACTCATTATTATCAAATTCTCTATATGATCACTTCTAATGCTACAAATAGCATGACTAATCATATTTTGAATTCGTTTACAAAGAGCTGAAAACGCAGAGTAAGTATCACTTTTGTGTGCCAAGAAGATCACCCAAGTAAATCTAGTATAATCATCCACACAAACAAGACAAAAGGATTTTCCTCCAAGACTTAAGGTTCTAGATGGTCCAAATAAGGCAATATGCAATAATTGAAGTGGTCTAGATGTGGAAATGATATTTTTGGATTTGAAAGAAAATCGTGTTTGTTTTCCTTGTTGACAAGCATCGTAGAGTCTATCTTTTTCAAAATCAATTTTTGGCAAACCAACGACCAAGTCAAGTTTGGAAAGTTTTGAAAGCAAATCCATATGAGCATGTCGTAGCCTCCTGTGCCACAACCATCCAGATTCATTTAAAGCAGATAAGCACTTAACATCATGATTAGAAGATAAACTATGCAAGTCAAATATATACACGTTCTCATGCCTATGTTCAACAAAAAGCACTCTGTTATCAGCAGAATTTTTAATAGTGTAGTAGGTTTTTTCAAAAGTAACATGATTGCCTTTATCACACATTTGACTAATACTAAGCAAATTATGCTTCAAACCTTCAATAAGCAACATATTTTCGATAATGGGTGAGGAAGTTTTACCAATACTATCTTCGCCTATGATCTTTCCCTTACTATTGTCTCTGAAGGTTACGTGACCTCCGTCTTTAGATTTAAGGGTTGAGAACATTGCCCTATCTCTGGTCATGTGCCTTGAGCAAGCACTATTGAGGTACCACCGGTTGTTATTGGATTTTGACCTAAAGCACACCTGCAAAAATCAGATTTTTGTTGGCTTTTTGGTACCCATTTTTTCTTGGGTCCATGAGAGTTAGAAGTTGAAGTATTTTTGGGAACCCACTTCTTTTTCATTCTATCAAATGAGTTTCTCTTAACAGGACATAAAGAAGAGATGTGGCCTTTTCTTCCATAATAATGGCATGTGAAATGAGAATAGTTAGATGATGCATATACAAAGGATTTTTTTGGAAGTTTTTGCTTTTAAAAAAGGTTTATAGCCAATCCTCATTCTTCCAACGGTTTAAGTTTGACTTTTGAGAATTTTGTTTAAAGTATCTCTACCTTGAGTAAATTTTGAAAGAACATTTTTTAAATCTTATATGTTTTCATTTAAGACAATTTTCTCCTTTTTCAAAATTTCATTTTCCTTTTGCAAATTGTCTACTTTTTTTTTTCAAAAATGAAAAATTCTTCTTCCTTTGGGAATTCTCTCTTCTTTTCTATTGTCAAGACTTCATTTTCTAAAGTATTGATCTTAGAAGTTAAGGATTCCTTTTCTTGAGATAAACTTGAGATCATTTTCTTTTGACAACTACTTTTCAAACTTAATTTTTAAATTCAGCATGCAATTCATCAAAAGCAATTTGTAATTCATTGAAAGTAAATGAGTCATCATTTACCTCATCTTCAAGTGTCATCAAGCATAGATTTACGACTTCATTTTTGCAAATATCCGTCTCTGAGTCGCTGTGATCACTATCTTCTCCCCATGCTGTGATCAAGGCTTTCTTTTTATCATTCTTGAATTGTTTTTTAAGCTTTGGACATTACGATTTGTGGTGTCCCGGCTTGTTACATTCATAGCAAATCACTTCAGGTTTTTTATGACTTTCTCATTTTTGAAGATCTTTGTTGAAGTCTTTTATGAAGAACTTCCTTACACGTTGTTTCTTTTTCACAAACCTTTTGAATCTTTTGGTAATGAAAGCCATTTCTTCATCTTCCTCTGAAGCATCTTTTTCTTCCTCTTGAGATTTTGCAGTAGACTTGAAAGCTATCCCTTTCTTCTTATTCTTGTCTTCTTTTTTTTTTTTCCTTCTTGCATAATGATCTCATGGGTTAGGAGAGATCTCATTAGCTTATCAAGAGTCAATGTTGACAAGTCTCTTGCTTATATCACTGCAATAACTTTGTTCTCCCAATTTTTTGACAATGATCGGAGGACTTTTCTGACAATTTCTGTATTAGTGTAAGTCTTTCCAAGAAATTTAAGACTGTTTGTAATATCTATGAAGCGAGTGAACATTGGGGATATGTTCTCATCTAGTTTCATCTTGAAGAGCTCATAGTTATGAACAAGTAAGCTCACTCTAGATTCTTTAACTTGAGTGGTTCCCTCATGAGTTACAACAAGTTTATCCCAAATTTCTTTAGTTGTGGTACAAGTGCATATTCTGTTAAACTTAGTAGCATTAAGTGCACAACACAACATATTAACAGCTTTGGCATTTAATTGAATGTCTTTATAGTCAGCACTAGTCCACTCACTCTTAAGTTTGGGTACTAGCAAACCATCTATGGTTTTGGTGGGTACCTTAGGACCCTCATACATGATTTTCCAAACCTCATAGTCGGTAGATTGAATATGCATAATCATGCGGGTTTTCCTGTCACGACCCAAACCCGCCCCTAAAAGTTTGGCATCGTAACCGGCCAGTAATCCTTGGATTACCAAAGGCCTTCCTGTATAATAAAAATAATCAGGGCTTGCAGAAGCAATATACAAAAATACACCAATAGTCCAATAAGCTGTGCATCTATATGAACAAACATTAATCATGCAAAAACGTTAATTTACCCACATTCAATACATAACTTGTAACTTAACATTTTATACACAACGTATGCACATAACGAAAGTTTACTTCACAATCAAAGACTTGACAATGGCCTTCCAGGCCTAGCCTTAACTCGAAGGCACTCAAAAAAACTTGGTAGGCTTCAAGATGGTGACTCAGCTATAAACCCCTTCTAGGCTTGCCATCCAGAATGCTCACCTATACATATATATAAAAACAGTGAGCAAAAGCCCAGTGAATAACATTAACGTAAAGAGGTTAGTAAACGAATTCCAAATCATATCATATATAGAAAACCGATCATATATATCTGTCATATCAGTCTCATAACAAAACATAATAATGGTACATCTAAAGGAACATATCATATATCGTCTTCTGACTAGAGTAATCGGTTCCGGATACCAATTAAACACATAACACCACAATGACGTGGCTAACGAGATCTCGTAATCACATGTATGTCATGGACTCGCACTAATGTGCCGTCCCCCATGACTTGCGACTATCCTTGGATACCACACTAGATTTGCAAACCGGATATTCGTTCACAAAATCAAAATCATATTTTTGAAACATAACATATCATATAGCATTTCGTATAACATTTCAAGTACAGTGCATATCAACATATCTTTACAGAAATGTTACTCACAGTGGCTTTCCAATACCCGTTGTTCGGTCTTCGAGTCTTGACCTACAAACACAAATATTCATAGCACAATTTCTCAATACACATCGACATCGAGTCGTTTAGTTGATTCTTAACTTTACTTAGTTATCCGTTACTCGACCGTTCAATTATTTCTATTTGTTGTTCATTAATTCAATTCCAACTTTTCATTTTTTGATTTCATTTATATTCAAGAGATGCGAATGCACATGAAAAACACTTTAAAATCATGCAAATGGAGGCTCGAAAATAGAAAAGTGGAACGAAACACAAAACCGGGATTGCCCTGTTGGCTGCTCGTGCGGGGGCCTTGGCAGCATGAGCGGTGGTCAAGCAGATTACACCCCTGAGCTCATGAAGGTTGGCCGCTCGAGCGACGGCCCAAGTCGCTCGAGTGGTCTGGGTTGAATTACTATCCGAAATTCTGCCCAGTTTTGGAGCTTACAATTTGCAAAATCAACTTCATTTCCAAGCATGCCAAGGCCAAAAACTCTACAAACAAACTTTGAATTCATGATTTCTTACTTCAACCAAAAATCACAAGATCAAAACAAGGCTCCATTACCATGCAATGCTCAAGTTCTTTAAGTTAACATAAAAGGTCTTACACTTGTATTCTTGTGCAATAAAGCTTCAAATCCCATGGAATTTCCCTTAATAGTCCAATGAGCTGTGCATCTATATGAACAAACATTAATCATGCAAAAACGTTAATTTACCCACATTCAATACATAACTTGTAACTTAACATTTTATACACAACGTATGCACATAATGAAAGTTTACTTCACGATCAAAGACTTGACAATGGCCTTCCAGGCCTAGCCCCAACTCGGAGGCACTTAAAAAAACTTGGTAGGCTTCAAAACGGTGACTCAGCTATAAACCCCTTCTAGGCTTGCCATCCAGAATGCTCACCTATATATATATAAAAACAGTGAGCAAAAGCCTAGTGAATAACATTAACATAAAGAGGTTAGTAAACGAATTCCAAATCATATCATATATAGAAAACCGATCATACATATCTGTCATATCAGTCTCATAACAGAACATAATAATGGTACATCTAAAGAAACATATCACATATCGTCTTCTGACTAGAGTAATCGGTTCCGGATACCGATTAAACACATAACACCACAATGACGTGGCTAACGAGATCTCGTAATCACATATATGTCATGGACCCGCACTAATGTGTCGTCCCCCATGACTTGCGACTATCCTTGGATACCACACTAGATTTGCAAACCGAATATTCGTTCACAGAATCAAAATCACATTTTTGAAACATATCATATCATATAGCATTTCGTATAACATTTCAAGTACAGTGCATATCAATATATCTTTACAGAAATGTTACTCACAGTGGCTTTCCAATACCCGTTGTTCGGTCTTCGAGTCTTGACATCAAGTCGTTTAGTTGATTCTTAACTTTACTTAGTTATCCGTTACTTGACCGTTCAATTATTTCTATTCGTTGTTCATTAATTCAGTTCCAACTTTTCATTTTTTCATTTTTTCATTTCATTTATATTCATGAGATGCGAATGCACATGAAAAACACTTTAAAATCATGCAAATGGAGGCTCAAAAAATAGAAAAGTGGAACGAAACACAAAATCGGGATTGCCCTGTTGGCTGCTCGGGCGGGGGCCTTGGCCGCACGAGCGGTGGTCCAGGCCGCTCAAGGGGTCTGGGTTGAATTACTATTTGAAATTCTGCCCAGTTTTGGAGCTTACAATTTTCAAAACCAACTTCATTTCCAAGCATGCCAAGGCCAAAAACTCTACAAACAAACTTTGAATTCATGATTTCTTACTTTAACCAAAAATCACAAGATCAAAACAAGGCTCCATTACCATGCAATGCTCAAGTTCTTTAAGTTAACATAAAAAGTCTTACACTTGTATTCTTGTGCTATAAAGCTTCAAATCCCATGGAATTTCCCTTCAAGTTGAAAATCCATACAAGAAGTGATGAGTATGAACCAAATAAAATCATGCATGCCCAAAAACTTGAATTAATTCTTCCAATTAGTTGATCAAAGACTCCAAGAATTTATAAAACATGAACCATGTGTTTCAAATGTTCAAATTCTAAACTTTATGATGAAAGCTCTTTAAAACTTGTAGAATTCATGAAGATTATGCAAGAAAATGTAGGTGTAAACAACAATGTCATAATTTCATGCCATGCATGTTGAATTTAAGGCCAAATTCCTTCAATTCCTTTCTAACTTAGCTTGCATGGTCTAATTTGTCAATTCTAAACATTAAAACTCCCAATTAACCAAGAATTTATTCTAATTAACCCTTTGTCTTAGAAGATGATGAGTGTGGGAAGTTCAATTTCAAAAAATTTGAATGAAACTCTTACCTTAAATTGATGAATTGAGAAGAGCTAGTTGTTTTCTTCAATGTTCTTCCTCTCCCTTTCTTTTCTTCTATCCCTTTGCTTTGTTGGATTCTCCAAATCTCTCTCACACACTCTCTCTCTCTACATGTATGACTAACAAGGTGCAAGAAAACCCATTACACTACTCTTCTACATTCAATTGATGATGGTACACTAACTCTTTTCTCATACATACATTAGACCTATATTAATTAGGTTAATAAATTAATTAAATCAACTTCACTCCAATTAAATTAATCTCCATCATTTATGACTTAATTCAACCTAATTTTAATTTTGCTAATGGGAATTAGGCTCTAATTCCTATCCAATTATTTAATTCTAACTTGTTAAAATTAGCGAATCAGACGAAATAAGTTTTCAATTAAACGTCCCAAATGGCTCTAAAAATTCCCATAAACCCATCCATGTACTCAATTTCAATTTCTAAACCCACTAAGGTTGTCAATTTCAATTCCAAAGTTGCATTCTCAACAAATAATTTCCCAATTTGGACAGATATACACAAATTAAATCATATAATCTGTAATTAACACATGGATAATTCAAATAATTATAATTTGCATTTTTGGGGTGTTACATTTTCAATAGTTGAAATTTGTGCCATTGAAGAAGGGTGATTTGTTTGAGGCTTGGCCTTTAGGGAGAGAGGAGCTAGGGGTTGCCATAGATTACTCTAAGACGGTTAAGTCATACTACTAGAGATGAGGCTCTGATACTAATTGTTAAACAGGAAAGCAACCTAAGAGGGGGGTGAATTGGGTTACTAAAAATTTAGTCCAAAAATAAAGTTCAAAATAATTAAGTAATTAAATACAGCAGATAATCAATAGATTCACAGAAAATAAAAGGAGAGGAAAGAAGAGCTTAACATATAGATTTATAGTGGTTCAGCTCACCGGCCTACGTCCACTCCTCAAAAATCCTCCTTGAAAATTTCTTCACTATGAATCAATGCACCACTAAGCTTTACCCAACTTGTGGATTTTTGTTTTACAAAGGACTTACTTCAATTTGTTGAGGATCTCTCAACTAAATGCCTTACCTTACAAGTGTTTCACTCAGAAACTAAGGAACTAGAAAAAGAGGTTCAACTGTCCTCTTTGACAAATATTATCTCTCAAAAGATATGAAAGTGTAAGCTCACAAGTAATTTTGGACTCACTCAAATCTAAAAATGGAAGTACAAAAGTAGAATCTCAGAGAATGATAATGATACTTTGAATACTTAGTCTATTTCAGTGAAGTTCTCTGATGTTTCAGATCTTGAAAGGATCCATCTTTATAGCCGTCACTTGATCTCTCTTTTCGAGCAGAAACACATACACGTGGGTCTTCTAGCCATTGAAGCTGGGCATAGGAGAAGGCTTCTAGTTGTTAGAAGTGGATCATGGGTGGTACAGGCTGTTATCTGTCTGTTGGAGGTGGAGCTTCCTCAAAAGATGTGATGCCCATGCTTGAGATTCAAAACTTGGTGGATGGAGATAATGTTGTCTCCAAGCTTTCTGCTTTTTCAGATTTTGGGAGTGGTGTGGGTGGAGAATGTTTCCTCCACTAAGTTAGAGGTTGTTGTCCCAATGTTCCTTTGGATTAGAATAAGATTTGTCTAATGATGATATCACAAAAACCCTCTAGGAGTTGGAAGATGGTGGCTAC